ACAGATACTTATCCTGGCATGCTGTTGACAGAAACAAGCTACAACTTCTTGGTGTTTGTTGCATGCTAATTGCATCGTATTTACCACGAACCCACTAGTTTTATTTGGTAATGTTTATGGTATTAGTTACAAATCTCACTGCTATTTTGATTGGTGCTGTAGGAAGTATGAAGAGATCAATCCTCCTCACGTTGAAGACTTCTGCTATATAACTGATAATGCGTATACCATTGAACAGGTGCTGCACTTTGTCCTTTCTATGCTTAAGTTGCGCTTTCTCTGCTTAAGTTGCGCTTCTCTTCTAATATTTGGCGCTATAAACATTTTGTTGAAGATTGTTAGGAGAGGAATCCCATATCAGTTAATTAATAGGTTGATCATGAGTTTATAAATAAGGAATGCATCTCCAATAGTATGAGACATTTTGAGAAAACCAAAAGCAAAACTATGAGGACTTATACTCAAAGTGGACAATATCATACCATTGTGGTCAGAGTCATTCTCTTAACTTAGTCATGTCAATAGAATCCTCAAATGTCGTACAAAAAAGTTGTGAGTCTCAAAGGTATAGTCAAAAGTGATTTAAGTGTCGAAGAAAGAGTGTACTTTGTTCGAAGACTCCAGAGAAGGAGTCGAGCATAATTCGAGCCTTGATTAAGGGAGGTTCTATAGTGTACTTTCTTCGAGAGGAGGACTATTGAGAATGGTCAGGAGAGGAGTCCCAAATCGTGAGGTTGAAGGGCTTGCATTCTCGTTTCCCAGGCAAAAATTACAACAAAAAGGAAGAAACTGTCCATATGACATGTCTACTTCCATAAATCTTTATCTATATTAAAAGCCAAATCAATATCCACTATACCTTATAGTATAAACATTGATGATACACGTTATAAAATCTCAATGAAAATAGATATGGTTTATGAGTTATAAGTATCGTTGTGATAGTATTTGTGTTCATATTTTTTTGTTATATCATAACTGTGTTTCAAAAACTATTTAATATTAATATTTTGTCAAGATTTTTATACCCCTTTTGAGCTGATGTAACAAGACTTGGCTGTAAATTTTGGTTCTTATGCATTTAGATACAAGCTCCCATTCTTTCCCTCTTGATGATATGATTATGGTTCTTATCTGGTTTTGTTTAATATGCAGGCATTGAATATGGAGAGAGATGTACGCAAATTCTTGACCTTTGAAGGTGCCCCCACGACAAAAAATTTTCTCAGGCAAGAATGTTTTTCAACTATTTCATTTCATACAAATCTATAATTCTAATTCTCCCAATACGCGATTAACACATTGTTGCCACATTGTAGAATATTTACACAAGTTTCCTTGGAAAATTGGAATGTAAGCCCCATCCATGACAACTTCCCAATTTTATGCCTCCCCTTTTGTTCTTGATTCTAAATAGTTAACGCTACCAGCAGGCTCCAGACTTGGAATTTGAGTTCTTGAGTAGTTATCTTGCGGAGCTAAGTTTGTTAGACCACCGTTTTGTTCAATTCTTACCTTCAAAGATCGCTGCATCAGCCATTTTTCTTTCGAGAATGACAATCAAACCACAGAACCATCCTTGGGTAAGTAAGTTATTATGTTCGTAGCACTTTTTTTAAAACCAAATTATGGTTTAGTTTCATAATGTTCTTGCTAGCTTCATTATAATACTATTGGGTTTTCACATTTTGCAGTGTTTAGCACTACAACATTGCTCCGGTTACAGGCCATCTCAATTGAAGGAATGCATTCTTGCCATTCATGACTTGCAATTAAATAGAAAAAAAAGCTCTTTACTAGCTTTAAGAGACAAGTACAAGCAGCATAAGGTACTGTGTGCGTACATATTTCATTAGTTATTTTCCTTCCAAACTTAAGAATCGTGATGTATATATTCTAGAAAGAATTTAAGGTATTGCAATCTAACGCTAGTAGATATTGTCCTTTTTGGGCTTTTCCTTTCGGACTTCCCCTCAAGATTTTTAAAACTCGTCTATTAGGGAGAGGTTTCTACCCCTTATAAATGGTATTTCGTTCTCCTCACCAACCGATGTAGGATCTCACATGTGTAAGGAGGGAGTTCCACACTGGCTAATTAAGGAAATGATTATAAGTTTATAAATAAGAAATACATTGTTGGAAGTGAGTCACACGTGTTCCCTAATCTAGGGAATGATCATGGGTTTATAAGTAAAGGAATACATCTCTATTGATACGAGGCCTTTTGGGGAAGTCCAAAGCAAAGCCATGAGAGCTTATGCTTAAAGTAGACAATATCATACCATTGTGGAGATCCGTGATTTCTAACATACATTTCCATTAGTACGAAGCCTTTTGGAGAAACCAAAAGTAAAGTCATTAGAGCTTATACTCAAAGTGGACAATATCATACCATTGTGGAGAGTCGTAGTTCGTGTATGTGTACATATTTCATTAGTTATTTTCTAAGACTTTCAAACCACAACCTATAATCTAGAAAGAAGAATCCAAATCTCTTTCTAGTTTACATAAATTAATATTCAATCTCTTGAAGGGAAAAATGTTTTATTTAATGACAAATCTTTTTATTTTGCAGTTCATGTGTGTGGCAGAGCTATCGTCTCCCCCAGAAATTCCTGCACATTATTTCGAGGACATTGATCAGCAATCATTCAACAGGTTCTTAAGAACATAACTGGTCGATGCCTCGATGCTTAAACTCTTTCTCTTCCATTGGCTAGCATGACATGCACAGTTAACCATGCACAAATAATGAGAAGTAGGTACTTATTAGATAGAAGATACCCATTCTTACTTGTTAGATAGGCTATTGAATCATAATCATGGGTTGATTTAGCATAGGCCCAGCTTTAGAACATTTTTTTATTAGTAATCAGGTTTAGGCATAAACATCGGCATTTTTAGCTTAGTGGTGCCGACGGCCGCCCTTGTAGGACTTAGTTTGAGGCTTCAGGGAGGCGTTTTTAAGTTTTTAAGTTTTTTTTTTTTTTTTTTTGTTACTATACAGCAGGCAAGTAAATTATTGGTTCGACCCTTCCATGTGAGACTCTAAATTTTCTACAAATTAATAATTATTTGAATTAAAACTCTCAAGTTTTATAGTTAATCTACTCTATAGGTTGATTGTGATTTCGTTTTATTCTTAATGTAAATGCAAGAAGGATTTAAAGAAATTATGTAATGGCAGAGAGATGTTAAAATCAAATAGAGAGTAAGTACTTTTGGTCCACTTTCATGATAAAAAAATTTATTTGTAGTTTATTTAAATGATTTTGTGTTTGTTTTTAAATAAAATCACGTAAAAATAATTTAAAGGGATGTAAACTCTTGATTACGTTAAGTTTAAATGATTTTAATATGTCACTTAAATTATATAGAATTGTAAAGGAACTTCGAACTTGACTCAAGTAAAGCAAAAACGTAATTACGTATAGAAATTTTCATAATTTTCTATTGAATGAATAGTACATGATTCTACATCGACAAGCACTAAGAAAAAGAAGAAAGAAATTATTTAGTGCTTCATTTCGACATTGATTTTGATTGTGAAATTGCGTTGCTGTGTTAGGATAAGGATAGTTATACTGATTCGGTATATTCTAAAAACACCCTCGGTACAATATTGACGATTTTACAAAGATAAAATTTCAGTTAATTTTCATTTACTAATCTCATCTTTTACGGAATCGATCCCCTTTTGACTGTACAAGAATATGTGGAGCTCGGCATGTCTGGAAGCACAGGAGAACGTTCTTTAGCTAATATTATCACCAATATTCGATACTGGGTCATTACTTTATATAGTTTCGGAATGAAACCTTTGGCCTTCCATTAGTATTTCAAGATTGTGTAACTTTTATCATTTATGATCATAATTAGCTGTAAATAAGTCTTAAAATACCCGAAGCAAACACCATAACTAACATAGCTCGATTCTTCTTTAATGCAGCATGAATTGCAACACCATATGATAATTTGAACAATATTTTATTCGCATATTTCTTGAATAATTTTGGACAAAAATGACCATGACATCATTGTCGTTAACTCTAGATCGAGGTTCTCCGAGCCAATGGTAGCCGAATATGTGGTTGAACATGTGTTAGCCAATCCTAGCATGACGAGTGGCTAATAATAATAGCCACCTAACCACTAAATCATTCTCCAAAAGAAAGTTGATCATCCTTTTGTAAGCTTCACATTTTAACTAAAGAACGTCCAAAATGAGCCGAGGGGGTTTGATGATTCATTCCAAAGATAAAATGAGGTTATTTATTAATCAGCTCAACCACTTTGATGGATCACTCCATAACAATTTATTAATAGATTTTTTCTTTTTTTAATTTCTCTCCCTTTTTAATTGAAAACAATATCACCTTCTAACATAGTAAATATAAAGATAAATTAAATTATTGACTAATTTAAATAAATTACATTAATGACATTAATTAAATCAACAATTGAGTAATTGGGATAAATATTGTTGAATGATGATGGAAGTCCACGCTAATTTAGGAAATGATCATGTGTTTATAAGTGAGAAATATTAACTCTAATTTAGGAAATGATCATGTGTTTATAAGTGAGGAATATTAACTCTATTGGAGTGAGGTCCAAAGCAAAGCCATGAGAGTTTACGCTCAAAGTGAACAATATCATACCATTGCGGAGAGTCGTTTAACAAATATAAAAAAGAAAACAGCTAAATTAAATTTATTTTTTCAAAAAATTGAGCATTCAAACCAAATAAGTATAAAGAATTATCCTTAAAACATTGATAATAAATTGTACATTTAAGCAAGCAAAACATAATTCGAGTTTAGCTCAACTCAAAAAAGTTATTTATAAAAAATGGAAAGTAATAAACGTGATTTAGATTAATAAATGTTTCTTTAAAAGATTTTTTTTTTTTTTTTTTAAATGGGACCTGTTCGCCAATAGCTTCCAATTATTTATCCCGAGAATATATATATTTACTACATTTGCCCTTACAAATAGGATGACGATAATAAAAATAAAACCTCTTATAAATTATATATTACATTTTACATTACAAATAGGAAGGTCAAAATTCAAACTTACAACCTGCCTTAACCACTAAACTATGTTGATATTAACGCCCAATTACTAAAGCTTTAAATTCAAATCAAGCTTCAGCGGTTCGCTCATCGGTGGCTCTGTTTGCTGTTGTGTGTTCAATCGGAAGCTTCCAGGCCAAGTTATGTCCATGAAATCATCCTCCAAAGTGCAGGCGGCAGCGGCGGAGGCGGAGGCGGAGGTGGCGGCGCCGTAGAACCTTGCGACAGTTGCAGAAGATCCTCCATGGCCAAGGGGTTCTCTGTTTGGTCTCTGCAGAAGAAGGGAATGAGGCCTTACACCCAAAGATCGAACCATAAAATTAGCAGCATTATTCATTAATGGAGGCAGACCCATCATCGCCATTATTTTTTGAAATTGGTATCTTCTTGCTGCTCCCCTCTCCCTTTTGTGGGCATTTTGGTGGCCTCCCAATGCTTGTGAGCTGTAGAATTTCCTCATACAGTAGTTACATGAAAACATCTTGGCAGTTGCAGCAGCTGAACTGCTGCTTGGCTTGTTCATCAATGGCTGGGAATCAGAATCATCTGTGCCATTGCAGGGCTGCAAATTCCCACCCAAGCTCAAATTCAGCCACCCTCTTGCAGGATTTTCATTTGCTGTTGATTCATTTCTGTTGATTCTTGTGGGACTTGATTCACCTGGCTTTTGGGTAGTAGCTGTTAGTTCTGCTGCTTCTTCTCTATCTTCCATAACTTTTCAGGGCTATGGCTGTCTGGTTGAGAACCTGTAGAAAAAGAGAGAGATTATCAGACCTCAGAGAGACCTCAGAGAGTTGTTTGTTACCTACAAAACATGGCTTTTGTCTTCTTTTCTATTTGGTTTTGCCCCACTTAGTCAGGCTTGGTGCTGAGGAGACATTGGATCATATAATTAACGTTTGTAGCTTTGGTTTCTTTTGTCTATCTTTTCCCTCCTGTCCATATTCTTTCCAAACTTAGCCTCAATAACTTTATAGATGGATGTCTCCTTTTTGAAGTAACTCTCAGAAACACCTACAGTTGACAATCCCAAATAATATGCCAATAATGGTCAAATCATGATCTTAGAATCTGTTTCAGTTGCCTGCCATTTCTGATTCTTACCCACCAAGTTAACAAATCATTTTGGTCTTGCTTTTGAGAAGCTAAAGAGATTGGTTTTCTCTAAAATTGCATTGCTTATTGTATTAGAAACTTCTCGTGGAAGAATCTCACAAAATCATTACAGATACGAACGATCTTTTGAGTTTTATCAAGCATGAAATAGGCAGCTGGGAGGGGCGACTAAGCTATCAATTTTAACCCACTACCTGGTTACTAAGCTAATTCAATACAAACAAATTCGAGCTCAGCTCAAATATGTCTATCCGTGTGAAGCAAGATAAAAAAAAAAAAAAACTTAAGAAACAATCACAACATGTCCATAATTCTTAAGAAGTATCTAACCAATCCTGTAACTTGTAAGAAAGATGATTTATTTTTAAAAGCAATTCATTTAATAAACTGAAACAAAAATAAGACAAGAATAAGTTTTAGAGGACAATACCCAAATATTTACAGTTTTTCTTTACCCCATTTAAAGATGTGTGGATAGCACCAAAAAAAGGGGGGAAATCTATCATTGATAGAATAACTTAGTGCTAAAAAAATCCCACTTGAAAGAAACAGGCTTCACCAATGTCATATGCAGCATAGCAATAATCCTAGTGACAACTGAGAAGTGGGTGTGGTGGTGGTATTTCTTAGTGCCTTTTTGATTTGATATTTTGTTGGGGGTGAAAATGGGCTTACAGACAAGAGTATTGGAGAATAGTAACAATGGAAGGAATAAGGGTTAAAATGCATTTGGTTTCTCTTTATAAGGAAGTGTTAAAATGGGCTTTTCTTCATGTTGGTGCTTTATTCCTACCCAATCTGGCTGCATCATCAGCACATTATTGGTGAAAAATGGGCATCACCAAGATAAAACACTACAAGACAAGAAGCCACTATACTACATTATCAGCCAGTTCAACAGTTACCAATAACTCATCCAAATGATTGTCCTGTCACTGATTTGATTGGATTTGGGATCTAAGGCACTTATTTCACTTTAGGACCTTAGGCTTATTTATAATCATCAACGCAGGGAATAATCAGTAGCCATACAGGTCCATATCGAGATACAACTTCGACACCTTCCCTCAGTTCCCCTTTTCTTAAATAAGAATTCTTTGAAACAACTCAGCTTACTAAATATGTTTACCTATTAATATTCTTAATCCAATATAAACTTCACATCAAATAATAAGAAATCTTAGTTTCTGGTGCGTAGCTAAGCTTTCTTTTTCCTTTTTCAAGACAATATATATAATGGTAGACCCTGTGAAAACACAGTTGGAGAAGCATTATGAAACCACTTATTCTATTGACCTTTGGCTTTTGATAGAATGACCTCTCAGGGCTACAAATTCCCACTTTCCTGTAATAGTAAGGGAATCCATTAGAGGATTCTCTCTTTCTCAACAAAAACTTATGTACGATCTAATATTTCCATCCACAAGAAAACCCACTCCGTCGAACAAAACTAATATTTGCTTCGAGAGAATGAGATTTCTGTCTGGCAATCTCATTCACCTTTTGATACCGACTGTCTAATCAGTGTTTTTAACTCTACGATAATTACCCAACTCCATTTTTATCTAACTAGTTTTCAAGGGATAATCACCATGCAGCCGGTTTAGAACTAACAAATCACAGAAACTCTTCCCCACACCTGGTCTATTCTCCTGTAATTGCAACCAGAAACTTCTATCCTTTTTTGCACACTGGTTTGATGGGAGCTCGTGATTGTTACAAGCTTGCAGTTTGGTAGGCCGTCTCATTTGGAAGGTGATGTTCCTAAGGAGTGAGCTTTTCTTAGGGTCTTTGTTTAAAAAGGTTGAGAACTTGTTGTAGAGTTCAAAAGAGGTTGCCGAACTAGCATGTTATCTCCCTAGTTGGTTAAGGATGAAGAGGATTAGTCCCATCTCTTTTATCCACTGCCGGTTTGCAGCCTTGTGCTAGAATAAGCTCCTCCAAATTTTGGATATTGGCTGGTATGTTCTCCGGAATTGTAGGGTGAGGATTTGTTTCAATGGGCAGAACCATCTAAACTAATGTAGCAGTGGATCTAGATTTTAAGAGAAATCCATGAATTTCAAGTGGTCGGGATGAATTTTTCTAGGATCCAGTTAGATTTCTCATCTACTTGGTGTCCCTTACCAAAGGATTTTTGTAATGGTGACTTGATGCAGCAAATATTTTGCCAATTAGGAGTCTTCTACGTAATCTCATTTGACATTTTATCTGCCCTTTTTGTAGGGCCTTTTGTTAATATACGTTTTTTTCCCATCCAAAAAGAAGAAGAATAAAGTTTCAATTTGGAATTCAACAAACATCAGCAATACTCACATAATGACGTGGGAATAAAGTGTCGGCGGATCCAAAAGTTCAGAAGGCTACTGAGACCAAAGTTTCCTTGCAACCTGGTCAACCTCTGCAAATTAGCAAGTGTTAGCGCAAATTCAAATTTAACATCCATCCAATTCTCGATGGCTGTTTGATTGACTTCGGAAAACAATTTTTTTTTTTTAATTCTTTTTTCAATAGTAAATCAATGATGACATAGTAAGTAATGATGAATGAGAAGCAACAGCTAGATGACACAAGAATCTAGCAAATGCTTTAATCCCTGCTCTGATCAATAATATAATTAAGAACGCTTTTATCGTATTTCCAAAGCATTAGTTCCTGAAGTAACAACTCTTCACGAGTCCCCTGCGCCCGCGTATTGCCGCACATGGCCATGTTTAATCCCATTTAACTTAAGTACCTGAAAGGGCCAACGGCAGCTGTGAGAAGCAATAAAAAAAGTTAACAAACAAAGTCATCACTTTATCTTCCAAGTGTTTCTCTGCCAAAATACAAGGTAACGATATTGATTGAACCCATGAAACAGACACCTAACACCTAACACCTAACGTGATGTCATGATTTATCAGCCAAATGGAGAAAAGAATTACACACAATGTTCGGTTATAAGTAAGCGATAAAAGCACGACATTCTCACTATTTTATCTAAACAGAGAATGAGGCAATAATACGAAAATGCAGAAACTTCTAGTTGAGTTGAGGTAGCCGATATCTCTAGCAATTTCTTTACATGATCACATTTTCCAATTTTACTAGCATTTATTATGACTTATCCTTCTGCAAGTCTGATCCAAAATATTAAAGTGGAGAAACTCACAGCAAATAGAAAACGTGTGGCAAAATAAATTCCATTAAATTAAAGGAGTTTAAGATGTATGGAAAATTGCACATACAACTCATAGTTCAAATTTAGTCTAAAAGGTAATTTTTAAAGACAACTTCGAGAACCTCCCATAAAAAAGGAAAGAAAAAAAAGACACTTTCTAAGTGGTCCAAAAGTTTTCACTCCATTTCCATTGCTTGAATCATTATGTTTATATTCTCAAAATTATGATGGCACAAAATACTATTTAAATTTGTCTATAAGTTAACACTAGCATTGCAACCTATCTGCCAATCGCCATCAAGGATCCAGCAGCTAGATTTCCTGGTTCCCAGTCTAAATATAAGTTGGAAAATACTAGGATCCAATGTATTATTCAAAATCAAAAGCACAACAGGACAAAAAAAATCGACAACATTGTATCACACTCCAGCTCAGGATGAGTGAATATCCTTCAGCACAATCCATCTTCCCCACTCCCGCTTCTCAATTCATTTCCTGGTTCCCAGTCTAAATATAAGTTGGAAAATACTAGGATCCAATGTATTATTCAAAATCAAAAGCACAAGAGGACAAAAAAATCGACAACGTTGTATCAGTCTCCAGCTCAGGATGAGTGAATATCCTTGAGCACAATCCATCTTCCCCACTCCCGCTTCTCAATTTATTTCCAAATCCTTCTTAAGATCTTATCAACCAAACACAAATGCAATCTGCGGAAGAAACTAATCACCTAGACTTGGTGTTCTTGACTAATTTTACCTTCCATTCCATAAACAGAAACCATTGTTGTGCAAACGTAACTATTGAAATGCGACCCTAGGATCTAGGCCACAGATAAATAACAATAAGAGAGTGAAAATCTACTGACTGTGCATATAATGTGTCCTAGAACAAGCAAGACTCACAAAGCAACCACTAGCGATATTGACAGGGACGGCAGAAGGTACCATGAGACAGCTCGTAAAAAGCCCTAACATTGACAGTGAGGTGGATGTCAGGCAGGGAGTTGCTGTCATGCTACAAGTTGGCATAAAGGATTGTATTCATCCCAATTCTCCCAATCTCCTAGAGTATGAAGAAGAAGAAAAAAAAAACAGTAAACGAAAGAAGAAACACAGAATTACATATAATATCAAACAGATCACCCAAAAATTCAGCGACATCCATTATTACCTAGAGAATAGAGAAATGATATCTTCTTCATATGAATAAATTGGAAAAACACATATCATATACGACAAAGAAAGAAAGATGTCCAATATGGAATAGAGCCAAAAATAAATAATGCCAAATAAACGTAGAGTTACAAGTTTGTGGTATATATCAAGTTTTGGACATAGGTTGTACAATTTAAAACAATACATTACATGTCTTTAAACTTTCAATTTTGTATCAAGAAGTTAGTAAATTGGAGTTTTATTAAACACAAAATTGACAAATCAAAGACCTAAATCCAAATTCTTATTAGACACAGTTAAGAGTTCGTAGATTATTATAGACACAACACTAAGTTTAAGGAAGGCACACACTTACAATTTTACAGTAAAATAACTTTCCACGTTTGAGATTCTGATGCCAATTTCCTCATATCATATGCAAACAGTTCCAGTCAATAATATATTCCGGGGTCATGATGCAGGAAAAGAGAGTAGAAGTGGTCCACTTCCTTTTTCATCTACTTTCTACAAGTAACCGCAAAAAAACAAGCGTTAAATTATGAAATGGAAGGCCAACAAATCTATAAACAAGAACCATCCGTATATCGAATACATCTGTGCTCTGATTATTCTCTCCAATTTTTTATCAGCTAATTAAACTACAAAACAAAAGAAAAAATTCTCAAGATTCCAAATCTGCAAAAATAATTCTCAGCCAGTTAAGTATCAATAAACCATGAAAAAAGGTAACGGAACAACCAGGCGCCAAGTGAAAACATTCGTGGATAGCGTTTTCAGTTAAGCAACACAAAGAAGCAATGATAGCGGGTTTTGGCGAAGGGAACCTGGAAGCCGCAGAGAATTAGCGGGCCGGCAGGCGCCGAGGAGCAGGGACCGGCGGCGGCAGGAGTTGAAGAGCCGATGAAGTTAACCGGGAAGATGAAGAGCGGGCGGTGGACATTAGCGTCGGAGAAAGGCCAAGCCATCGTCTTCTCAGATTCTACGCTGTGACTGTTTTGAGGATGCTAACGGTGTTGGGACTTCACGTCGGTTTTAGTTTCGCGGCATTCAGAAATTCTCTTTCGAGATATTGTGCTGCCGGTGTACGATAGTTATCCTGTGCCCTCAATTGTTGACCGTTAGATTATTTGTAGATGGTTTGCACTCCTTAATTAATATATATATATATTGAGAAACCCTAATTAAGACGTTCTAAGAACATAAATATCTTATAGCTCGTATAGTATAAGATGATAGATTGTTCGAATCTCGATCGTAATCTCTTGTAGGGTTGCTACACCCACACATGAATTTGGAGAGCGAGATTAGGGTTTGAGAAACCTTTCATATTCTTACTCGTGAGGAACTTCTAGACTCTTTTGATAAAAAACATTGGATATACGACCTAGATGACATCAAGATTACGTTCTTATCTTCATCTATATTCTATTATTTAGTTTTGAAAATCATATCGATTTAAAGAATTTCCATACCCAAATCTCTAGAAGGAACTTCGATAAAAGAAAAAAAAATCTCAATCACTAACTCAAATTCCGACTCAATTTCGTCTATTTCTTTCCTTTTTTCTGGCTTATCTTGTCATTGTCTTAGCGACAAAAAAATATGTGCACAAAATGTTCTCTAAAAGTTCAATCCACTTTGTGTTGTGCACGGGTAGAAATCGACTTCGTCTTTTGTGACCTATTTAATGTCAACTCTAAATAGTTCATGGAGCAGAGAGATCCACGTTAATAGTTTTCTTCGCCAACAATTCTAGCGAGTGTCTAGATATTGACAAGACAAGTTCCAAATTTCTCAAGAGGAATCATTATAAAAAATTATATTGAAGAAAAAGTTTCGTAATATAATTAAAAAAAAAAATCGTACTTTGATGGCAGCAGACTTGCGATTGCGCGACACTCACTTCTCAGCAACAAGTGAGTTAAGCTTATTTGTTCTTGCGTCGCTTATGGCCAAGCGACGTATGCTTGAGCCTCTGGCCCCGGCCCCGGTTCAAGAAGAAAGTTTTAGAAAACGAGGGCAGAGAGATTTAGAAAGAGAGTTTTGAGAGCAAGATTTGAGAAATTGAAATAGGTGTTACATGGGAATGTAAGCCAAAGGCAACAACAACGGCTTACTGCATATAACAAACCGATCTTCGTAATTCGAGAAAGTAGAGTTGTGCGATCTATACTTCAATCTTAAATTTGTTGAAAGGATAATGAAATGCTTACATTTTTCTTTACTTTTCCGTTTCAGTTCACCAGGTTGTTTCTTGCCTGCCCATGAATTCAGCTGCAGTTTGAAAGGTTGACCTATTTGAAAATCTTCGGATCTACGCTTATTTTCAACTCCCCGAAGCATTTCGTCGCTTACTACGCCCTTCCTCGTCTCTAGGTGCCTAGGTATCCACTGTAAGCCTTTCTTCGTTTGAACCTTGAAAGCTATGTCATCCTAAGATGCTGCTAAATGAAAGGATCTTAGTACATCGTGTTTGACTTTTAAGAGCAAATTATTATATTAGTAGTGTAACATTCAAAATCCACCACTAGTAGATATTGTCCGCTTTGGCTCGTTGCGTATTGTCGTCAACCTCACAATTTTAAAACGCATCTACTACAAAAAGGTTTCCACACCCTTAAAAGAAATATCTCGTTGCCCGATCTCATAATTAACATTATCAACCACTAAGAACGGTTAAAACTCGCTTGCTAGTATCATAATCAATGCCTACATCACAAGGGACCTTCACACTTAGTTTGCAAGTTGCCATAAAACAAAAGGCATATGCTTTCATCGTGCAAGCATAGTCTGTTAATAGCTCACTTATTGTCGGACTCAAAAGTTCAACAGTAGTTCTGTTCCACCTTTGTGCACAGCTCTGTTCTTGTAATTTCTGGTAAGATACCTGTCTTTAACGATACCTGTCGAGTATTTCAAAAGTTACAATATTACTCTTCAAACTATCTTTAACGTTGAAAACCTTTAACCTTTCAAACGAAACTTGGGACTTGAAACGGCATGACAGTGTTGATCAACGTTAGCTCAGCCTTTTCCCTTTCCCATTCTGCTGTCTCATTGGTGCGTTCCTCTTTGATTTCGTCAAATCTTTCTTGTAGACGAATACACACATTGCGGATCAAGTTTAGTTCATTGACGAGTCGATCATCAGATGGCTCGGGTTCGTTAGCCCAATGAAAGAAACCACATTACGGCCAGTGTTCAGGACATAAATATAAAGGAGTCGAGGTAAACTAAGTACTGAGTTCCTTAAGTCTGTATATGCTTATATGAGACATCCTGTTTGGACATTGTCAGTTTTGCAGGCACTCCACAGTAACATTCTGGATTGGATTCTTCATAAATTTCCAAAGAAGACATTGTTTTTAAGTATGGATCCTGAAACCAACCAACAAATCAAACCATTAGAGTGTGAAGAAAGAGTACCAATAATAACAGGTTAAGCTTACTGCTAGCAGATATAGTCCTCTTTGGACTTTGTCTTTCGAGTTTTCCTTCAAAGTTTTTAAAACGACGTGGGATCTCGGATCTCACAATCCACGCCCCGAATCTCACAGCACCTATTAGTCTAAAATTTTTGAAATAAAAATTCCAAGAATTTTCTATGTCCTATATATCATACTAGTATTGAAATGGTTGACAGTATGAAATCCAAAACTGACCCGTACAGCAGTGGAGTGGAATTCAGATCCCTGTGATCTGTATTGTTCTTCTGATTCTTCCTCGGTAATTAGAAATTTTTTAATGACATAATAACATGTGCTTGATTGCACTCTTTTGATGAAGTCAAAAATATCGGCCCTTTGTTGTTGCACTAAGGTCCCCAAACAAACACCATCCAAACCAGCATCACGAAGGCAAAAAAGATAGATGACCTGACCTAGGTTGTAACAATCAAGTCCATCGCTAGCCGATATCATCTTCTATGGGTTTTTCCTTTTTGGCTTTCCCTCAAAGCTTTTAAAACGAGTATGCTAGGGAGAGGTTTTCACACCCTTATAAAATTGTGAAATCCCACATTAGTTGGGGAGGAGAACGAAACATTCTTTATAAGGGTGTGGAAACCTCTCCCTAGCATACTCGTTTTAAAAACTTTGAGGAGAAGCCCGAAAAGGAAAGCCTATAGAGGTCAATATCTACTAGCGGTGGACTTACCTGAGTAAGAAAATAAAGATCGACCCCCTACACCCAACCTAGTTTTATTAGTATTATGAAACTAATAAAACCAATACGAGGACATCAAATACTAAGATTAGGTGGGCGCGTGATGCTTATTAAGTAAATAAGACATAATTTCGTTAAAATTAACAAGATTACATCTAAATTTTACTAAAAACAATACAAGAACATCAAATACTAAGCTAAACTGAAACAATTTTTTACCTGTTACATCAACAAAAGCTACAGTACATTTTCCCTTTGTTTTCTTTTCTGAAAACTGAAAAGGGCACCCTGCTCATAGCACACTCTCCGCTAATCCATGGCGAGGCTTTGTATACACTAAGACCAATTCTAAAAGACAGCAAGAGTTTTAAATTATAAGATTATATAACTTTAGGATCTTTAGAATAGGACCCTGGAAAGTACGTCTAAGCATCCTAAGCCCTCGCCACCAGGAGAATGTTAGTAGAATAGTAGTAAGGACATAGTGATAATTAAATAGTGGTGTATTCGTTATGAATAAATAAGGGGAGTTGGGGCACCTTAAGAGGAGGATCATTTTGGTGAGGATTGTCCATTGTGGGACTTTGTGTAATGGGTCAAGCTCACCGCTAGCCGATATTGTCCTCTTTGGGCTTCCCCTCAAGGTTTGGTTTTTGAAACGTGTTTGCTAGGGAGAGATTTCCACACCTTTATAAAGAATGTTTTGTTCTCCTTCCCCATAGATGTGAGATCTCACAATCCACCCCCCTTCGAGGCCCAGCGTCCTTGTTGGCACATCGCCTCGTGTCCACCCCCTTCGGGGCTTAGCCTCTTCGCGGGCACATCGCTCGGTGTCTGGCTCTGATACGATTTGTAATGGCCCAAACCCACTGCCAGTAGATATTTTCCTCTTTAGACTTTCTCTTTCGGGATTCCCCTCAAGGTTTTTGAAACGTCTGCTAGGGAGAGGTTTCCACACCCTTATAAAGAATGTTTCGTTCTCCTCCCCAACCGATGTGGAATCTCACACTTTAGGAGAGGGAGAAGGCTGCTGATATTGTAATTTTTTATTGATATTGCAAAACAACCTTTAATGCCTTCATATCTTTTTTGTGTTTGGATTCCAAACAATGACCCATGAGGATAACACGAGCTGATGGATACCCTCTGCAGTGCTTGAAAGCATGAATTATAACGCAAATTTATAACATATTATCACATATTTCAATACAAGTATAACAAATGTCCAACAGTGTAGAGATTGTTGCATTATTTTTACAGCCAAAGACAGAGGACATAAAGATACTTCAAAAGGTGTATATACCACGAGCTCAGGGTGCTGCAAGCAACAAGATCCTAATCCAGGGATGGTGAGAACTAAGTTCTATATGCAACACCAAATCTTCCCACAATTTTTATTACAATATTTCTAAGAGTCTTCCAATTTGACCTCAGACATTAATAATACACTAAGATCAATGCCAAGAACGAGTCATTCACGACATGAATCATGATGAAAAGAGTGACAGAAAGCAAAATCTGAACATAAAAGAACCAAACAATTCGACTCTACATTTATACTAAAGCAAATTCAACGTTATATTCATAAAATCCGTGTAAACATATTGAACAAGGTAATTAGAACGACAAAAGCAATCGAGATCATGGGATAATACTAAAATCTCAAAGAAAAAAAGGCTTTATGTGTTTAGAATTCAATCCAAAACATTTTGAAAATTCTAACATGTTCCTGAAAATCTTCTTATTCCTTTTCACCGAAATGGCTAAACATAAAATCGAAATTGTAAACTTTCAAAACACCTTTTCCTCATGATAGCAACTCCAAAAAAACAAAAAAGCCTAACATCCCTGTAAACCCAAACAGATACTGAATTGATAAAGAGATTCCTACATACATTAAAACAAAGAACAAAGAAAAGAAAGAAAAATATATATTACATAAACCAACTCATGGACATTACAATCAAAATGGTCAACTATTTTAACCTACAAAAAATTAATAATAAATCAGAAAAGAAGCAGTTATGAATCTTTTGTGAGTAGCTCAGCCAGTTCCCGGCCACCACATAGAAGTTCAAATCTCTGATAATCCACATAAATCACATCGAAGAAGAACGTGAATCCTCTTCATCTATGATAATCCCATATAAATCACATCGAATGATAAAATCAAAGCCCGCGAAAATGTTGATCGACAAGATCATGTTCAGCAACTAAAATTCCATCACTAACGAATGAGAAACAAAACGCATTGCTATTCTCGAGTGGATTGGAAATCAAACAAACAAACGAAGTGAAGAAATTGTGAAAAAGAACAGAAAAAAAAAAAAAAAAAAAAAACCGATGCAAAATTGTGATCACTTCTAAAAAAAATCAAAACGAAGAGAGTGGAATACCTAAATGGAGCAACCGATCGAAGCAGCCAAGAAAGATCGTCGTCGCATTCATACAATGATCGAGGGAGTTTGGAGGTTATCGTGTGGAGGCCCGCGATTATTGGAATCTTCTTCTCCTTTCTTTCGACAATTGACACCAGCTTATACCTTTTTCAGTTACTCTAAAATTCATCCAATAATTGATTTGTTTCTATTTATTGTTATTTTTACCAATTTTTAGTATATATATATATATATATATATATATATATATATATATATATATATATATATATATATATATATATATA